ACCTGGTTTATGATACCTTGGTATTTTTTCTCAGTTTGGTTGGAAAGCCCATTGTTGCTCTTGATGTGAAGTGAGTCCTAGATGTTCACAGTTCCCCTCACATCCCACTGGCTGTATTCTCTTTCAGGGCCATGGAGAATATCTTTGTCAATAAGAGGAGCTTCATCTTATCTCGTTCTACTTTTGCTGGATCTGGAAAATTTGCTGCTCATTGGTTGGGAGACAACGCAGCCACATGGGATGACCTTCGATGGTCCATCCCCAGTATCCTTGAGTTCAACCTGTTTGGCATCCCCATGGTAAGTAAGCCTCATGTCTATCTGAAGAATTTAACTCTTTGACCTTTAGCATTCTTACCATTACCAGTCTTGGAGGGTATCTGAAAAACTAAGGAGAATATGTCTCACTGTGATATGTGTTGGAAAAATGAATTTTTACGTTGGTGTGAGCTGCCTTCTGGAGATAGAATGGTGGTATCTTATCACTAAGCTGTCATCCATTGCAATCTCTGGAGATAGAAAGGAGACACCATGAGTAAAATGTATTAGTATAGGAAAATTCCATCAGGAAAGCATCAGTGAATGGGGAAGTATGAAATTGGGAACTGAATATTGAGGAAGAGCCCCAATATAAGGACCATTGTGTGCACTACCATCGAGTCTCCCCTCCTAAGTCGGTGCTGTAATGCATACTACCTTGTTTCTCTCATTTGGTTGGGGGCATGCCCCAGGACTCTGGGATCTCCTTAAGCATGGACTAATGTGAATAAAAGATTCTCTTTTTGCTTACCGTGTAAGTACACAGAACATGATTTTTCTTCTGTCACTGACCACTGTATTTTTATGTGTGCTAATTCTCCAGGTAGGTGCCAACATCTGCGGTTATACAAAAAATGTCACAGAGGAGCTCTGCAGAAGGTGGATGCAGCTTGGAGCATTTTATCCACTATCAAGGAATCACAATGGGCCTGGGTTTAGGGTAAGGTCCCCCAGAGAAGTGATGGGAACTTTTTGAATTAACTAATCTACTTGTTCTTAAAGAGGAGTTGAAGAAAATCCCACAGGTTGGCCCGACCTGCAGAAGAAAGATAAGTAAATCTTGAGTGATAGTCTTAAAAAGCAGAGTGTGGAGGTGAGGGTGTATGAGAAGTGGTGTGTATATATTGAATGATTTTATTGTTGGAAACTCACAAAGGTGAGAAGATTTGTTAAAATTTCTAGGGTGCTGCTGTCACTTCTGTTACCACCTTACATAAGATGGGACAATTGGAGTTTATTGATATTTTATTTCAATTAATACAAGGGAAACAACTCATAGATATGAAAGACCAAGGAGAAAGGATCTAGAGAGGTGCAGGCCAATGATCCAAAAAAATTTTTCACCCTGTACAGCATTCTATCTTTCTATGAATAGTTTGGGAGACTTCCAGACTACTTCTCATGACTCATCCCACCTTTATCCTCTTCCATCCAAAATAATACTTTTCATGGCCAAATATATTGAAGTGGGTTCAAAGTGCCTCCTAAGGAGGCATTTATGGTGATGGCAGGAGCAAGTAAGGTGGGATGTCCTTGTATTTAATGAAGTAATTTGCAATTAAAATATTTCAAATGGAGTGGTTCAACTCTAAATAAGCTCATTAGAGTAACTTCCTGATGATTGTTTTAGCTCCAGCTCTAGACTTTGTTTTTAACCTAGGAAGGATTAATCTTCAAACCTTCAAAGTATTGTATCCTTGAGCTTTCCCAGCCATTTGTGATTGCAAGAGAGATGAACAATTTCTGAACATCCAAGTAGGTGGTTGAGAGCAGGTAGGATGGGTGCTCTTCATAAAGAGATGTCCTAAAAGGACTTATATAGTAAGAGCACTCAGATCACCCATGCAACCAGGTTGAAGTGCTTGTTTTCTTTTCTCTAAACTAGCTCTGTTTGACAGAATTATAATGAGAGCCATATGTTCGTTTAAATTTAAATTTAAAAAGTGAAAAGAAACAGAAGACGTAATTTTAATATATTTTATGTTAATGTGTCCATAACATTATCACTTCAACCTGTGTTTAACACAAAATGTTATTGATGAGCTATTTTATATCCTTTCCATTCTACCAAATCTTCAACACTCAGTGTGCATTTTATAATTACAGTACATCTCAACTGGTGTGCAAAATTTTTAGCAGTTGAAGTGAAATGTATCCTACCAAAACAATAAAATTGTATTTAATGGAAAAATATTTTACATTGACTCAGTTTTCAGATTTATATTTAGATGAACTATAATCAAATAAAATTAAAAGTTAGGTTTCTCAGTCTTACTAAACACATTTCAAGTGTCCAGTAGCTCCATGTGGTTCGTGGCCATCAGAGGGGACAGTACAACTCTAGACTTTCTCAG